TTCAACAGCAGTTTTTTGATCAAGAAAATCTGGTTGCAAAGAAATAATTTTACAAGCACAGCAATTTCTTCTAGCTGGATCTTCTATATTTTTTTACATAAATTACAATCTGATATTAATTCATCTCTCCATAATCCTCTTTCTTCTAAATTTTTTTCATTTCTTTAGATTTACTGGTATATTCTCCTTCTAAAAAAACTATTGATTGTAGTTTATTATTAAAAATTGTAGGTCTCATTACTGGTTGTTTGACTCCTGGATACATATTCATTCTACTAGCAACAAGTGCATTTTTTCTATACATTCTATGAATTGGATTATTATCAAATACAAATAAAGCAATACAATTTGGAAATAATGTTTCAAAAATTAGAATAGCTTTATATTCTACTTGATCAAGAAATTGTTAACCATTCCAATATCTTTCTCTATTATTACCAGGCTCAAGTATAGTACAAGCCTTTTCAGGTACATCTTTAAATTTTTCATTTAACTCTTCTGTTAATTTAAGACGACCAATTTTTTCTGTTAAAAATTTACTAATCATTATAGATTGTTTTTCTCCTTTTTTAAGTATAAGTGTATTATTTACTTTTATCTATCCATTAGTATTTATATTATTTGTATAAAAAATACACTCATCATGAACTACTAGTATAACTTCTTTACAATCTGGAGGTAAATTTAATAAAATTTCATTCATAAATTCTTTATCAAACTTTATTATATATTTAGTATATAATGCCATAGCTTCTAAAAATTTAGCTCTATATTCAACAACATCAGGTTTTTCATGTCTATCCCAATAAATACCTATAATAAAATTCAAAATTAATATTTTAAGATAAATATTTAAAAAAAAAAACATATAATATACCTTTTTTAATTTGTTGATAATAATAGCCAAGTTTCTGTAGCCATTTAGATGCTGTTTCTATATAAATAGTTTTTTTATCTAAATTTTTAAGAAAAGTATCTTCAACAAATTTTTTAAATTTTACTGGTGATGTTATTCCATTTTGCTGTTAAATCTATTCATGACTTTTTTTAATAAAATCTTCATTATCAATTAAAGATTTTATTTTTTGATGTTTACCTTGTTGACTTTCTGGTAAACAATTATGCTCAAGCCAATATTCTGCCCATTTAATTATTGTTTTCCATTTATATAATGTAGGATAAATAAAAGCTATATTTGCAGCTTTTTGACTTGTATTTTGCTTAGTATAATTATTATTTAATCTTTTAAAATATTCATAAATTGCTGTTTTTGATTATATTTAGATGCAATCAATGATTTTTCTTGACTTAAAAGTTCTAATTTTAAATCATCAATTTTTTGAATTAAATTAAATTTAATTTCTTCTTCATTAACCCATACTAATTTGAATTATTATAGATTCTTTTTTGTTTTTTAATTTGTTTATTAGTATTGATAATTTTTTTTGATAAACATTTTTAAGTAAAAGATAAGTTTAAGTATATAAGAATTAAAATTTATATGCAAATAAATACAAAATTTATAGACATAACTGTAGTTAATGTAATACAAACTATATTTAGTAATTAATTTATGTATAATGTAATTATTGTTTTTATTTATAATCACTGCATTTCTTTTTGACCAAAACAGTAAAGATTTTAAAAGCATTGCATATATATTTCTATTTTAGAATGATCCAATCTGATATGCAGGAGTTGAATTTTATTTGATAATACAGATTATATTAA